GTTAACCTGCCCGAATACAAAATGTCTTCAATAATGGTGGATTGCAAATATCGTAAGAGTCGTCTGTCAGTTTTTCCGTTGTAAAGCTGAGAATTTTGCTTGTCAACCCTCATCATTAACTCGGTTTTCTATAGGACAAAAAAATACTACTCACGCAATAACATGTACTCGGACAATTGTAGGTATGAAAAAAAAATGATCCTTTTTCCATGTGAAGATAGTGGGTGCTAATGACATTGCCTCCCATCGGGAAAAAATAAGAGAATACTGACTTCTCCCATTGTACCTTGACCCGATTGATATATTCCTTCGTCAAGTAACTACATAGATAAATTGACATATATATATATATATATATATATATATATATATATATATATATATATATATATATATATATATATATAAAATAAATATATATATATATATATAGAGAGAGAGAGAGATAGATAGATAGATAGATAGATAGATAAAAAACATATATATATGAATAAGAAGATAGATAGAAAGAAAACACACATACACGCGTACACATGCACACACATAGATATGTATATATATATATATATATATATAGAGAGAGAGAGAGAGAAAGAGAGAGAAATAAGAAGATAGATAAAGAGATAAATACAAAACACACACACATACACACACATATATATATATATAGATAGATAGATAGATAGATAGATAGATAGATAGATATTAATAGACTGAGATAGATAGACAAAGAAAGATATAGATACATAGATAGATAGATAGTTAGAAAAGCTGATATATATATATATATATATATATATATATATATATATATATATATATATATATAGGAAGTAAGACAGGCTGACATAAATATGAAGTGGTATATATAGGGACAGATAGATATTAATACAGATACATAGATAAATAATAGATTGCCACTCGTATTCGAGGATACCTGTTTACTAGGATAGCTAGCCAGTCCCTATTGCAGACTCTTGTTCAGGCACGTTTGCATTCCTCAACACCCACAGAGCCCACCTCTGGTTTATATAGCAACGATGCTGAGCAGACCTTAGTTACAGTTTCTGGGAAAGAGCGTGTTATTTAGCGTGATCAACAATTTGAACAAGGCCAGCGCGCTCAAGACCTCGGCCACGACGACATGTGGCTTCGTGCTAGCACAGATATCGACGACCCCCAAGACTACCGTCTACCCAATTTCACTCACAAATCTTGGGTCAGCCCGTGGTATGGTTAAATATAGATATTAACAGACTGAGATAGATAGATAGATAGATAGATAGATAGATAGTTTTCCAAAATTTCAATCCTGATATGTTGCATCTTATTCGAAAATTTGGAAACTCCAATAAAGAATTAAGCGAACTAACCTTCTCTTTTGGATTTATCATCGTATATAATTATTCTTAATCACTTCACCACAAACAAGGTAATAAAGCCACTAACATACAAGGGATTACTGAGTATGAGAGATTATAAGAAAACTAAAATTTTATTAAGGAGAGTGAACAATAAAAGAATAAGAATTAAAATGACAGGGTATAAATGCGATATTAAATATAAATGCTGATTGGAAAGTTCAATTACCGAATATTTTTTTTTTAATCAATTCGCTCCAAGACACAAGGAATTACAAGGAAGGAAAGAATAAAAAAAATTCGCCGGAATCGGAAATTCAATCCTAAACTTGGAAGCAAGTGATCAATATCTACTCCTGTTAAAAAGACTGCGGATGAGTGTGAACCTGATGATAGGCGTACCTATCTACTCCGGTGGATGAAGGAACTGTTATTATAGAACTTACGGTTATATCTCGTCATAGTCAACTGTAAAATGATGAGACATGCCGCCAATGTTGGAAAGTCTACGTACCATATACGAAAGAACATCAGAATAATAACCATAGAAATATTTATAGAAAACGTTCGGGAAGCTAGGTTAAGTCGGTATAAAACTGTCTAAAACCGAGATGCCAGCTTAGGACAGATAATATTGCATCCTAAAATGTCGGGTTCCAAATGTCTCTTTTGCGTTACTTGTTCATTCTCCTATACGTAAGTAAATGTACATGGGTTGGTGCATAATTATCAGGCGTTTTTTTTGTTGGTTTTTTTTTTTTAATAATATTTATTATGAAAAACATAACTATTCAAAAATAACATTTTTAAATGATTATTCCGAAGCGTATGCTTATCGACACATTTATACAGCCTGGAAATAAAATAATACTTTTATTTAAAAAAAGTGAAAAAAATAACTGGATTTTTATTAACAAATAACTCGCCTACAAAAACGCCTGATAATTATGCACCAACCTAATATGTTTTCACCAAAATCCTAATCTGCTAGCCCACGTTTCTTTAGAATAATCCTATAGTGAACATTTTGAATTCCTAAGACTAAAAACCGCTGACTGTATAATCTTTCTCAAAAGAGGTTCCCATATGGTATTAATCTCTACGCTAGGTCTACTGAGGAGGTTTTTAAGTCGTCATATGACCCACTATTTTACTCTGTTTGATTTCTGGACTCCATTCAAAATACAAGGTGTTTATTTGTGAAAGAAACTGGACACAATTAAAAAGCTATTTTTATTTTAATCTCTATCTTTGTAAAGAAAAGAAAACGCACTCATTTACTGAAAATTAATTAAAAATATTAAATGGAATTTCTGTCTATTGAAACCCAGGTTCCTGCATGTATTTAAATAGGCACGAGACACGTGCAAAAGAGGAATTTATTTTTACCTTGACGCCAACAGAACGGACGCGTTGAACGGGAAAACGCATTGCGCATGTCCACAGATAAAGCTCTCTCGAAACGATCAAAATATTTTCAATGATATTTCCTACACGCAACTACAGGGAAATTTTACGTAAAGAATTTAGATTGGGCGACTAGGAATATAAGCAGCAGACGTAAAACCATAACATTTGGCGCTATGCTTTGTGAGCAGTTAAACATTATGCAAGAGTATACAAATACTTTACGTAGAATAAGCTCACTTTCAAGGAAACACTAAAGCAGAGATGATTATAACATCTCAAAGGTAACCAAATAAATTTAATTATCTCTATTGAGATCACTTTTGCAGGATGGTTTCTTAGCGTTTGATTAAATCACGTTCCCGGCATCTTTAAAACATCAAATATATAGGGAATGACTTATCGTTGACGTGATGAAACAAACTATTAGAAAATTTCTCAAGACTAACTTTAGAAACACCGATAAGCTCGTTGTTACGTTTAATTTACAAATTAAAGCGCTGTACTAGATTGGCAGATAGGTCTCGTAATATTACTGCTGAAACTGCTAGTTGTAAACAATTTTTATGATAATTCTTTCAGATTCTTGATTTTTAGTAAACGTTGATCTTCGAAAATGCAATGTCAATTGAGATCTTCTGTCTCTTAGAATCAGGTTCTTTAATGTATTCTCTTCGTAATAATCGCTTCTCTCAGATTCTTTTCACTCTCAGAAACCCCTTGCGTCTTAATGGTTTGATGTAATGACTATGAATACACCTGGGTTCCCCATCACAGTAATATCATTGGCTGGTGTCAGCCATAAATACAGACTTATGTGGAGGCTTCGTCTATTGCCTACGCCTATTGCCTACCACTACGACGAGGACCAGTCCATTACGGTTACCTGCTAGATTGTCCTACCCGGTTATAGTAGCCAAAACCACTTAGCTACTTCGAACAAATATATCCCTTTCCGGGACTTATCGTGGTTATATTATAAGCTTTGATGTGAAAATATGACTTTTTTAAAAAATTTTGTAAGGATATTAAAAAGAATATCATCTCATATTCAGACATTCTTGTAGAATACAGAAACAACACCTTCATCTTATCGTATATAAGAACCAGTAGCAAAAACTCTTACAACCGTATTTTTAAGAGTGAATGTACACTTAGATATAAAATAGCAGTTATAAAAGAAATCCTCAAATGCTAGTAGAAAATACAAGCAAAATAAAATCATTCACATATAAAAAAAAAAAGATGAAAAATAATGGAAGTTTTAATAATAAAAAGAAAAAAGCCAATACTCAATAATATTAACTATGAACGCGGCAACAATGTGCTTACCGTGTTTAGAAAATAATGCATTCCTATAACTCTAGATACGTACATGAGGCAGCCGATACATTCAGTTAAAAGTAAAAATGAAATCATCCTTGAATAAGAATAATTATATCTGAACAATTTGAACAACGCCGGCACGCTCAAGCCCTCGTAATAATTAAATCACCGAAACAACTCGGAAATGCAAAAATTTTGGGCAGTTTTTACACATTCTGTGACTAGAAAAGAAAAAACTTGCACAAACCCAAGAAAAATAAAAAAAAATTATCACAGTAGCTTCTCAGCCGTTTTTAACGAAACACACACACACAGACACACACACACACACACACACACACACACACACACACACACACACATATATATATATATATGAACATGAAGTATTATGAACACTATTTAATTGAACACCATTGGGAAATTCGTAAACTTAAGGAATCAGCACATATGCTATGTTACAAAAATCTCCTGAGCCGACCAAGCCTAGAAATGAATACAGAATGGGAACCAGTAATACGGATTGCCAGAGAAAAGCGATAATAACAACAAAAATTCCAATATGATATCTGGTAAAATATTATGATGATAACAGCAAAAATTGCAATATGGGCACTGGTAAAAAATGATGCTGAAGACATTAGGTTTACAATACCCAGTAATTCATACACAAAATGTCCTCAAGGACACATGGCACAGTGGATAAAGCTGTTGGTTAGATCCAGTGACAAGACCCAAAGAGTGTGAGTTCAATACCCGGTGGAGGCGGTGGAGATCTTAGAGAGGGGAAGTAACATAATGTATACTTTCAATTAAAAGTGACAATTTCTACATAATTTACCTTCTGTAAAGAAAATAAAAATATGAACACATGACAACGTAACACAGTACCTTTTCAGTCGTTTTTTAATGAACTTGTACAAAAGTGGGATTGTGAAAGTGTGTGTGTGTGGAGAGAGAAAGAGAGAGAGAGAAACCGATAGCAAACAGAGAGAGAGGGGTAGATAGAAATGAATAGAATGAGTGATTGATCGAGAGAAATCGATAGATAGTTAGATCCAGGCAGAGAAAGAGACTAGTGAGAGAGAGAGGTACAAATATATAGTTCGAGAGAAAAACAAATAGATAGATTAAGTGAAACAGAGTGATAGAGAGAGAAACAGATAGATAGATAGATAGATAGATCAAGAGAGAGAGAGAGAGAATCAGATAGAGTGATAGATAGATAGATAGATAGAAACAGAGAGAGAGTGGGGCAAATAGATCGAGAGAAAAACAAATAGATATATCGAGCGAAACAGATAGAAATATAGAGTGATAGAGAGAGAAGCAGAGAAATAGACAGACAGATAGAGATAGGGGACAGATAGATCGAGAGAAAAACAAATAGATAGATAGAGAGAAACATATAGAGTGATAAAGAGATAAACAGACAGACAGACAGACAGAGAGATAGACAGACAGAGAGACAGGCAGACAGATAGATAGATAGAGAGAAAGAGAGAGACAGATAGATAGATCGAGTGAAACAGAAAGATAGAGCGATAGAGAGAGAAACAGACAGACAGACAGATAGATAGATAGATAGATAGATAGACCAAGAGAGAAAGAGAGAACCAGATAGGTTGATAGAGAGAGAAAGAGAGACAATGTTCGTTTATACATTAATCGCACATTCTTATCATACACCTACAAACAGAAACACATACTCCATGCAGAGATACATATCATTCGTTTAACGCAACGGACGAGTTTATTACAGTGTCGAATCTTATTAGTACCGCTTAAGGGTTGACCCTTGCTGAACTTTCGGACACAGCAGCAAAAAGGCAAAATTTAGCCCGGGAGAATTGCTCTTCCGAACTACGATTGTTTTCATCACGTAGCTTACATTCATGGCTGCACCGCTGACCCGGCACGTCCCGTCTTTGTAGATTGAAGGACCTCAATACGGCGCCCTCTACCTAAGAGCACACCACTTCATCCCAAGACGCTTACAGTATATTGATGCCTATATCTCAGCAAATATAGAAGACTATTTCACAGTGTCTCTGTAAATATACACTGGTTTTGAGTTTGTGTAGATTTCGTTTCAGTCTATTACAAGGTGAAATGTGTTTGACTAGAAAAACGGGGGTGGTGGGTAATCGAGCGACAAATATTTCATCGTCAGTACTTAGAACAATTTGTTGTCTTTGAATAGGCAACTTTGTGTTAATGTGTCATGAGACCCGAAAATTTCACCTGAGAGATTTTTTTTTCAGAATTACTTCAGGGAGATATGTATGATACGCATTTCGACTCTCTCAGTTATCAAACATTAAATGTTGTCAATTTGTCAGACAGGACTTTTGCCTATATACTTGCATCTTTTGGAACGATACATTTTCGATTCAAATATGCGTGAATTCAAACGGTGGTTTCTTTAAAAAGAGGGATGCGGGTTCGAAACCAGCCGGAGAACTCAATTTTATGATCACTTCACTGATAGATATTATAATAAGGACATGCGACTTTCGCTCTTGGTCGAAGAAAATGTGCTTGCCACACGCCAACGCTTCAGTTCGTCTAGTGACTATCCAAGAATTTCACCTCTAACGTCGCAATACGAGTGGCCTCGACCGCTCGCTTCGATCATTGCGATCGGACGGAGACAGAAAGACATAGACAGGGCCCTCTTCAATCATTCCATGCTTGTCGTATGCAAGCTTGAACCACCGCTCTGAGCACTATATTTTTTTTTCAAAGGGAACGTACCGCGGACACTCGGTCAAGAGCACCCTTGGAGGAGAAACTGTTGAACCTTCACGCGTGCAAAACAAACATGAAGACAGACGCGGCGGTAGGTTGAGCAGGGCCGAGAGAAATCGGGAGGATGGGAGGGAAGAGAAGGCTATCACGCGGCAGCAGGAAGACCAAGACGGCGTGTCGGAGTGACGACGTCCTTTTAGGCGACAACGGCAACGCTGACGACGAGTGAACGCCGCTGGCCGCCGACGACAGGTATACCCACGAAAAAATATCATATTCAGTACCCCGTTTGCATATTATATTCGGTACCCCATCTACTGAAATACGTAAATGCACTAAATTATCAATTTGCAGTGATAAGATATATCAACTTTTAAATAAAATCCTTATTTTTAGATATATTAATTTCTAATATATGAATGTCTCATATCGAGAATATTTAACATCGAAAAACACAAAAGAGAAAAAAAATAATTATTTTTAATAATATGTGGAAAGCTCCACTCTTTGCCTGATGACGGTCAAAAGGCCAGAAACACGTGTAGTAAAATTATGAAAAATAAAACATAATATATATTTTTTTAAAATCTACGTTACAGGCAAAAACGTTTGCGGTTTCTCTCTTCTTTTTAATATACACACTTTTCTCTCATTTGAATTACTATAAGCTCTTCCTTATATATATATATATATATATATATATATATATATATATATATATATATATATATATATATTATAAAAAGAAGAATAGTAAGATATATAATCCGTTGTTCTTATTGACATTTTATTTTTTACAAAACAGTGCTCAATGTAAATCCACAGAGCATAAATATTATAAATTAACTGATTTAATAGATTTATCTGATTTAAAATTAATTGATTGAAACCGTATTTTAAATCAGTTAATTCATATATATATATATATATATATATATATATATATATATATATATATATATATATATATATAAAATGTCACCATTTTTCTTCCCCTTTTCATATTAAAACTATTTCCTATTTCTCTTTTTACCTATTTTCTTTCTATTTTTTCTTTTCTTTTTCCTTGTGTCTGAATAAATTGAACTCCATTTATTTATGTAAAACCGCTCTAAAAAGATGGATATTTGAAGTCCACGAAATAAGTTGTAACCTGACCGAAAGGATTTTTAAGGATTATGTCGTCCTCATTATATTGGTCTGTTCTTACATTCAGAAATTTTTAGATTTATATCCTCCTTGGAATTATCCCTACTAAGCATCAAGTTATATATATATATATATATATATATATATATGTGTGTGTGTGTGTGTGTGTGTGTGTGTGTGTGTGTGTGTGTGTGTAAAAAATATATAGAAAATAGAAAAGAATTCGTTAGGTAAATAATCCAAAGTTCTTGAGTATTTTTGTTGTTATTTTTAAAAAGTAGTGCTCGATACAAAAGTATAGCATAAATATAATTATTTATTTAAAAATATGATTCCAACGCTACATAAGAGTTCTCAAGTTTCAAAACAAGAGCCGAAAATTTCAATATAATTATTTGAATTAAACTGAATTAAAGTACGAACGCTTGAAGATGGAACAGAGCTTGGTACTTTAATTCAATTTAATTCAAATAATTATATTGAAGTTTTCGGCTTTTGTTTTGAAACATGAGAACTCTTATGTAGCGTTGGAATCATATTTTTAAATAAATAATTATATATATATATATATATATATATATACTAGAAATTACTTTGTTCAAATTTTCTGACCAAGTAAATATGCATTAAGACAAATAGAAATTTGATTGACTGTCAACCTCTCCGTAGTAGAGCAGTCAAAGCAGGCCAGATTATTTAGTGATTTCTCCAGAAAATTGGGTCAAAAGTTCAAATCCTACCTGAGGTCAGATTTTCCTCTGGCCGCAGGCCAGTAGCGTAGATAGACATTGTTTGCAAATACGGAGTTGCTGACGTATAAAAATAACGTTTGATATAATGCTTTAGAAATATATATTCATTCAAACGTTGTTGCTCTAAGCTTCGTATAGTGGTTTTAGTATCGTGAAAATATAAAGACAAAAACTCTCAAAAATTTGAATAGTTTTTATTACGCTGTTCATCGATCTAAGGTTCCGGGTAGTATAAGACATCATCAGAGTGGTTATATGGACATATAAACAGAGATGTTCACCATCAAAGCCACTATACAAATTTTAGAACCGCTCGCGGTCAAACATAATAGACATTCGCCGTCTGTTATATCTAACAATATATGTTTGAATAATGATCTGCTGCCCCAATATACTATATATATATATATATATATATATTATTGTACAGTAGTTTTCAAAGTGGAGGCTTGTATTTCACTCAGTCGGTCCTAAATTAGGTTCGACGTAAAAAACGTTAGGAACTTGAAAATAATCGTTAATGACGCAGCAATCTAGTTGTGGTGGTTCATACATTAATGTCCGACATCGACTGACTCACACAACTCACTGAGCTTCTGGCGACTGCTACTAATACTACTTATCTGTGGGAGAGTCTATTTACAATGGAAATAGGTACGTTCCCGTATAACATATAACATATATATATATATATATATATATATATATATATATATATATATGAAGAAAGAAGAGTAAGATATATAATCCGGTGTTCTTATAGATATTGTTATTTTTACAAAATAGTGCTCAATGTAAATTTACAGAGCATTAATATTATAAATTAACTGATTTAAAATATGGTTTCTTTCGCTACACAGTTCTAACCATGTTTCAAAAATGGAAGCCAAAAGCAATATTCGGGGCTTTTAGCTTCCATTTTTGAAACATGATTAGAACTGTGGAGCGAAAAACATATTTAAAAATCAATATATATATATATATATATATATATATATATATATATATGTGTGTGTGTGTGTGTGTGTGTGTGTGAATGTGTGTGTGGGTGTGGGTGTGGGTGTGAAAAGAGAGTGTGAGGGAGAGTGGGGGAGAGATACAGTTAATATAAGCAAAAGTTGTCTCTTAGCTGATTTATGTTATACTCTGCTTCCCGACTCCAGTGTTTCGTAGACTGACATGTCCGCCCACTCTTCGGGAGGTGTCACTAATTGACTTTTTATATTTCTCGATCTTTTTTTTTATGCACTTATTGCTACAAGTTTCTTTCCTGTTGTTTGTGTCCGTTTGCGCTCATGCTGTCATGTGCCCGTCGGTCCGAACGTCCATTCACGCCTGCTCCCCTCAGCTGCGATTTGTTGTACGGGTAGGATGTCCTGATTATTTATCTCTCTTTTCGTTTTTTGTTCTAGTGCCACTTTTGACTCACTCCTTAGCTTTTACTCTTTTTTCTTTTTCCTAATTTATTTCAATTGCCTCTATTTGTTGCTATTTATTTCAATTGCCTCTATTTGTTTCTATTTATTTCAATTGCCTCTATTTGTTGCTATTTATTTCATTTGCAGCTGTTTGTGCTATTTATTTCATTTGCAGCTGTTTGTGCTATTCATTTCAATTGCATGTATATGTTGCTATTTATTTCAATTGCCGCTTTTTGTTGGTACTTATCTCAGTTGCCGCTCTTTGTTGCTATTCATTTCAATTTCGTGTATTTGTTGCTATTTATCTCAATTGACGCTATTTGTTCCTATTTATTTCGATTGCGGCTATTTGTTGCTATTTATTTCAATTACTGTGTTTTGTTGTTATTTATTTCAATTTCCACTATTTTTTGCTATTTATCTCAATGTGACGTCCCTCTCTACAGCCTTCGCTCGCTCCTCGCTGCTTCGTTCGGGTGTCGCCGCTCCAAACGTGACGTCCGCCTGTCTGCGTCAGTCGTGTTGTCCCGTCCTGTGATGACCAACTGGCTTGGTATCGGTCGCAACATCCAAATGTGACGTTCTAACCTTT